AAACAACATCAACAACAAAGGAGTGAGGGAAAGAAAAAACAATGGATAACGGCAAACAAACACACACGCACAAACGCCACTGCCACTGCCAACGCCCCCCCCCCCCGTCGCAGTAACACCGGCTCCAGTGGAAGCCAATTCTCGCAGGGGACGCGTTTGCCAACGACGCCTCTGGTGGCGCCGTCCACGTTCCTTCATGCTTTCCCCCTCCCAATCTCCCTCATCGTGCCGCGTCGCCTTCGGTGCCCAACAGCCGCGCCAAGCCTTTTGGCCCTCGCTCCCTCCCTTCCCCACGCACTACTGTACGAGAGTGATGGTCTTGATTTGCGCGCCACGGATAAAGCGAATGGGCGCCACCAGCGACGACGACGACGACGCAGGCCCCTGCACGGCTTTGCCGCCTGCGCCCACGACGCCCCAGTCCCGCAGCATCACATTGCAATGGTCGTCCACCGCCAATAGCGTGCCGGCCACCGTCTCGTCGCTTATGGTGCCCACACGTACGGGCTTCTCCAGGCCCTGCACAAGAAATGCGAACGGGTCCATTGCCCTTTCCGTGCCCCTAGCAAGAAGCAGCGCAAGAGAACAGAAGAGAAACAGACACACACGCACACACACTCTCCCCCAGACAGACAAACAAACATCAAAAAAAAAGTCTCAGCAGGAAGAATCCGCAGCAGCCACACAGACGCACACAGAGAGGGAGAGGGATAGAGAGAGAGCGAGTGCCGAGAGCTTTCGTAACTTTCGTTGATTCTGTTGTCTATACGTCAAGATGCCACCCGCCACGGTGTTCCTGCGGCGCCCCACCCCCCCAAGAGCAGCACGAATAAGCAACGCAAAAAGAAAAAAAGAAAAATAAAAATAAGGGCAAGTGATAGAGAGAGAGAGAGAGCGTATGTATAATGTGTGATTGCTTGCATAATAGCCGCAGCAAACAGCATCGCCAGTTTAAATTCTTTTATCCCCCTCTCCCACTTCCACCCTTTGCTTTTACTGATGCTCCTCTTTTTTTTCTCTTGTTTTTCATCCTCTTCCCGCCTGCATCTCTGCAAACGGACTACGTTGCCACAAGGGAGGCCACCCACCTCGCGGTGTCTGCAACCGTGTCCTCCAGCAGGTTGTCCAAAGCATGCCCGAGAACCAACTGCGTTAGCCCCGCACGGCGTTGGTTCACGGCAAGAGCACTTCGCCCACCACTACTAGCGCCAATTTTTCTCGCACTGCCACCGCGGCAGACCGGCGGCGGCAACGTGGAGGCGACATTCTCGTCGCGTCGCTCAAAGAGATTCTCGCACAGCCGCGCCTCCCTGTACACGTCCTCGTTGAGTGTGCCATTGCGGGCCAGTTCCACGTAGTGGTGAACCAGGAAGCGTAAGTCGCTCGGCTGCAGGTCCTCAAAGCAGCGCCGCGGCGTGACGGCGGCGAGGGCGCGGGCCGCGACCTCCTCCGGCGTGAGGAACGCCTCGCCGTGCCAGATGCTCTCATCCACGCCCCGTAGCTTTTGCTTGGACGCAAAAAAGATGAAGTCGGCGGCGACGCGCTCCGCCAAGGCCCAAAGACCGGCACGCCACTCCTCCGTCACTTCACCGGGGCGAGAGACGGGGGTGGAGACGGCCTCCAGTAAACCACGCCGCAGTTTTACCTCTAGCGTTGAGTATGACAAGTCCCCGGCCTCCCCCATCGCCTCTATAGCCGCGCCTGCCCGCTCCAACAGATACGCCGTGGCAGCCTCCGTCATGGCGGCACTGCTATCGCCGCCCTTCTTGGCGCCAGGCGCGGAGCAGGGCCGCGACACTTCTGCAAACGTGGGATCCAAGACGACGTCGGCCACAGCGCTCGGGGACGGCTGCGCCTGGGAGGGGCCCTCCAGCTCGGCTGCAGCCGGTTCTGCGTCACTCAAAGCGTGTTCCGACTCTCCCACGGGCGTTGCTGCCGCCACAACAGGCCGCACGTTCTCCGCAACAAGGGTGCACCCCGCCTCCACTAGAGGGAGTTGCGCAGCCTCCCTCGTCACTTCGGCCCGACACTCTTCTCTTTCTCTCCTATGCGCATCCGCCTCAGTCGCAGCGAGCCGCTGAACGCCAGTTACAGCGTCAGTGGTAGTAGCGCCACCGCCCGCGTCACGAGACACAAGGGCAGCTTCGGCAAACCATCCAAGTAGCATGGAGTCACAGCAATTAAAAATACACTTTTGCACGTCCGAAAGCTTCTCCTCCTCGAAATGAGGGGATGCTTTGTCCAAATTACCCCCTAAAAAAACCTCGGCAGGCCATCATTACCAGCAACACGACCACCATTCAGAATATTATCCCGCAACTCCGCCTTAACACCCTCCACTGGTTTGAGTGTACTCGCATCAGCCCTGCGTTTGGCCTCTGCTTCCTCTTCGGCCCTGCGTTTGGCCTCTGCTTCCTCTTCGGCCCT